AGCAGCAGCAGCAGCAGCAGCAGCAGCAATCTCCTGCTGCGGCTGCCCCCGCTGCGGCTACGCCGGCCCCGGCTGCCGACGGCGCCGAGGAGCTCAACCCCGACGGAACGCCTCTCTCGGACAACCAAAAGAAGAAGCGTGCCGCCAAGGCAGAGAAGGAGCGCATCAAGGCCGAAAAGGCCGCCAAGCTCGCTGCCGAGAAGGCCGCACGCGAGGCCGCCGACGTCGACTTTGCCTCGCAGAACTACGGCAAGCTGCCGCTCAACATGTCGCAGGAGCGCAATGGTCGCACCTTCGCCAAGATCAGCCAGATCGGCCCCGAGCGCGACGGAGAGCAGATCGTGCTCTCGGCGCGTGTGCAGACCAGCCGTGCGCCCTCCGCCAAGCTCGTCTTCCTCACCTTCCGCCAGGGCGTCGACTGCGTCCAGGCCACGCTGGCGCAGGCGCCCGAGAAGGTGTCGCGCCAGATGACCAAGTGGGCCGCCGGCCTTGCCGCCGAGACCATCGTGCTCGTCGAGGGCACCATCGTCAAGACGCCCAAGCCCGTCGAGTCGGCCACCGTCACCGTCAAGGAGGCTGAGATCAAGATCTCCAAGATTCACTCCACCAGCGAGATTGCCTTTGAGCAGCTCCCCTTCGGCGTCGACGACGCCACGCGCTCCGAGGTCGAGATCCAGGCGTCGCAGCAGACCGACCGTCCGCTGCCGCCCATCGCGCTCGACACGCGTCTGGACAACCGCGTGCTCGACCTGCGCACCACCACCAACCAGGCCATCTTCCGCCTCACGCACGGCGTGTGCAAGCTCTTCCGCGAGTACCTCGACGGCCTCGACTTTGTCGAGATCCACACGCCCAAGCTCCAGGGCGCCGCCACCGAGAGCGGCTCGTCCGTTTTCAAGGTGAGCTACTTCAAGGGCCAGGCGTTCCTCGCCCAGAGTCCGCAGCTCGCCAAGCAGATGGCCATCGCCGCCGACTTTGGGCGCGTCTACGAGATCGGACCCGTGTTCAGGGCCGAGGACTCGAACACGCACCGTCACATGACCGAGTTCACCGGACTGGATCTCGAGATGGCGTTCGACGAGCACTACCACGAGGTGGTCGACGTGCTGGATGGACTGTTCACGTTCATCTTCCGCGAGCTGCCCAAGCGCTACCGCAAGGAGATTGATGCAGTGAAGCGACAGTATCCGTGCGACGAGTTCCTGCTTCCGGAGAAGACGGTTCGTCTGCAGTACAAGGATGCGATTGCGCTGCTGCGCGAGGCGGGCAAGGAGGTGGGTGATCTCGAGGATCTGTCGACCGAGATGGAGCGTACGCTGGGTGGGCTGGTGCGCGAAAAGTACCAGACCGACTTTTTCATGCTCGACAAGTTCCCGCTCGAGATCCGACCGTTCTACACGATGCCCGATCCGGCGGATGGCAAGTACTCGAACTCGTACGACTTTTTCATGCGTGGACAGGAGATTCTGTCCGGCGCACAGCGTGTGCACGACGCATCGTTCTTGGAGAAGCGTATGGCCGAATTCGGCATTCCCGTCGAGTCGATGAAGCACTACGTAGAGGCCTTCAGGTTAGGATGCCCGCCTCACGCCGGTGGTGGTATCGGCCTGGAGCGTGTCGTGATGTTCTACCTCGGCCTGGGCAACATTCGCCGTGCATCCATGTTCCCCCGTGACCCCAAACGTCTCGACCCCTAGATTCTCCCAAGTCAACCTGTCCGTCCCGAGGCGCGGTTTCAAGTGAATCCATCTTTCTCGCCACCACAAAAAAAAGCCAGAGATGTAAAGCAAAATGTCATGCGAGCGTACAAGTATAGAGAGAGAGAGAGAGAGAGAGAGAG